TGTGTGTGTGTGTGTGTGTGCCAATTGATCCAAAAGAACATCCGCCTCAAAAGGCGTCCGCGCGGGCGGGAATTAAAAAAATTGTCTCGCGAGTATCGCTCGAAGCGTTTTAGCTTCCGCCAGCACGTAACGTGGTTGTGCTTTTGACGCAGGTAACTCTTCTAATTCGCGAACAAAGGAAGCTGATCCGATTGCCTTTTGAAGAATCGCGCGCTGAGCGAGACACTCTCTGTTACTCGCCGATTTGCTGCGGCAACCAGAACATTACGGCGATAATTACTCACCGTCCGCTTTAAACGGCGCTTATCTCGTTCGCTGTGAACGAGAGCTTTCACGCTTCTTCGCTTCGGCCGGTCCTTGTCTTTATTTCCTTCGTGACAAGATGGATCTATCCCACCCGCCTCGCCTTGGACCAGTTTACCGCGGCGTACTTCACTGCTGGCGAACGAGATCGTTGTTTTACTAGCCGGTTTCACTACAACCGGGCGTGCACCGGCTACGCTTGGATCTACATATAAGAACAGAGAAACGTTAAACTAGTTTCCACGATTTTTCAAACGGCCGAGTATAAAGGAGAAATTCAATGTCGGCCGATACATCATTAGACGTCGCGCCGGCGTGCCGATTCGATCCGTTCGATCCGAGAGCAGTGAACGGTGAACACGATCAGCGAATGAGATAAGAGACGCGAGGAGAAACGACGGTACAGATCAAATTCTTTTTAATCATCGGCCACCAGGGACAGTGACGATTGATTGATATGGACTTGCTGGTCAGTATCTAAATCTCCGTTTATTTTTCCATCGCGTAATTGGTAAGCTGCTCGGTAGACTGACGTATATCGGATTTGTAATTTGGGATTTCAGCTACTGTTTCTACTGTCGTCAGCGATCTTCGTCCAAGGATATGGGAAAAATAGCGATCCGAACGACGAGCCCTTCCTCCCGATATATCCGGTTTATCCCTATAGTCCGAAATTGATGAAAAGGGGAGCCGAGAAGGAAACCATCGCGCAGCTATCGCCAGAATTGTACGCGCCCAAAGTCGACGCCAAGGACTCATACAGCGCTAGTTTCGGCACTAGTCACCCTCGAGATTCTTATTATCCTAATTACAGCCCGTATTCCAAAGTTACCTCGCCGTCTAACTACGCATACTATGGTTCCCTGCCATACTCGTATCAATCGAACCCTTATAGCACGTACAATCCCTACTCGACCCTCCACAGCACGTACAATCCCTATTCGTCTCACACGGTGCCTCCTCCGCCTTCTTCTTATCCAGCGATTCCTTACTCGTCCTCTTATCCTAATTACTACTACCAATCTCCCTATTACTACCCCGATTATTACAACCAGCCATTGTTTCATCCACCGCCACTGCCACCACCTGCTATCGATTACTCTGGCGACGCGTATTCCGAGGTAGAAACCGCGGGCAAAAGTAAAGACAGAAAGCTCGGTGAAGACAGGTACAGACATATACAGGAGGCACCTCAGTTCGTCGACGGTGCGAACTACATCTCTGCAAACCCGAAAGATCTCGAGGGTCAACCGAGCACCTACAAAACGAGCAGTTTCCAGAATCAGCTGGAACAGGCGGGCAACCTGCAGATAAAAAGTATTCCGATCCCAGCACCGAAAACGACGTACAGAGTGATCAGCGTTGCTGGACAACCGGTAGGTCCTGATTATCCTTTGCCGGCGTCGTACGTGAAAGCGCAACAGCTCGAAGAGCTGATGAATCACGGCTTGGTCAAGCTATTACAGCAAAATTTGCAGCAAGTTCCTGAGTATTCTGTACGCGAGTCGACAAAGGAGGCCGTGACGACGGCGAACGACGGCCAGGACGTGAATCAAAACGATCAGGGTAAAAGTACGCGTTACATTACCGTCCCTAATGTGATCGCTAAAACTGGCTTGACTTACGTCGTGAATCCCAGCGTTCTCAGGAAGCTGAACGTTGGACAAGCAACGGGTCAAATCACGGTTCAGACGCCGAAGACTCAGTTGAAAAATATCAAGTATCCACCGTTGGCTCCAGGAGTGTACACCGCGATCGAGAAGCCCGAACAAGATCAGACCGAGTCGAACGAGTACGAGAAATACGAGAGTTACGAGAACTCGTCTTCTCAGGATGTTCAGGACGACTACGACGGTTCTTCGAGTCAAACGGATAAACAGCAGCAGCAGCAGAGTTACGAAGTAAATTCCGGCCAGTCCTATCAAAATCAGAATTACGTCACGCCCCGGGCGTACACTTATCAATATACCAGCTACAATCCAACGCAAACGACCTCTCAGAGGCAATCACAGCTGTACAAAAATAATCTGGACAGTGTAAATTTCGGCGTTAAAACAAAAGAGGCTTGAGGTTGAGTTTAAGAAAATGAAGGACCCATTGATTATGGTGCTATAATTTGTTTGTCGTTTCAGAGTTTTATTTTTATATGACTAGCGTTGGTTGAGATTAGATATACCGAGATAGAGATTTATAGTTATTTCTCCGACAATTGCCGTCAGTGTATTTTCAACGGGAGCGCTAATTTGAGAAAAAAAATCTGTGCACCTTTCTCCACAGATCACAAAAAATCCAAGACCTTTGAATACATATTGTACGATATTTTATCGATTTTTTACGTTAGGCTTCCTTCTTCCGCTCCTCCTTCAGTTCGATGATACTTCAAGTCACAGCTTTCTTCACTTGCGACATGCCAAAACGGTATCCACGAGGCTTTTACGTTCTACGTATGTATATACAAGTTTTGTATCCACGTTGTTATTGTTGGTAATAAAAAAAGTTGTTGCTCTTCGTTTGCGTGATTTCCGTTTTCTCTCCTTTATTGCCGAGCGAGCCATTTGCCAAATCTCGTAGCTGATAGCGACGATATAGTTCCGCGGAATATCGAAACCAGTTTCTAATATCCTTTCTATTTAAATACCAGCCGGATGGTGTATCGAAATCTCATCTTACTCGAGTTGAACGACGCACCGTAAACGTGCACGGGTCGATGCACGGTTGGTGAACGTGTTTCAATCTAACCGGGAATTTTCGACCTTTCGGGGATGCACGCAGGAAGACAAGAGGCACGGCTGGCAAACGAAAGGAGAGGATGCAACGAGGAAACCCGGCAACGTTCGGTCGATCGTTTGGGCGCGGTAATGGAAAGGGGAAGTGAGATTGCGATTCAGGGGAATCGTGGCAGGTGAGAGAGAGAGTGGCGAGTTCCAGTATTTTGCTTTATTTTTCGCATTCCCGGCGAGTGTGCCGGTGGTCGAAAATAAAATCGGACGAGCCAGAGCCTCTTACTTTCTCGTGACTGGATTTTGATCTCGATCCCCTGTATACACGGTGACCCGAAAGCCCGATGGTATTACTTTTCCCTTCCGCGTCTCTACCAGCTCGTGTTTATAACATTTTAACTGGAAATTTTCGAAAATCTGATCATACGCGATCTTCCAATTACTTTATCTCTAAAAGCAACCATCCCGAATTCTGTTTGTTAAAATTCTCGAACTCTTGGATAAAGCAATTGCTCGTCTGAGCCTGCTTCAATTTTTAACAGAAAGTGAAAATTTTATTTCCGTTCGGGCGACTTTCTTTTGCTTATATGAATAATAAATTTTCCAATTTAAGGAAACACGCGCGACAACTTTGACGCGGTGTAAATTATCGTGTGAACGTAGAGCTTGCACGTAGCAGGTTAAGTTTGTATAAAATTTCGATCTAGTTTTTATCTCAACTGGTTCGCCGAGTTGTTCTAGAGAAAGTGATTCACTCGGAAAACCAAGTTCGAAACAGTTACGACGGAATTATAATCCAAAAATTGCCAAGGTCCAATCGTTACCACAGTATAGTTGAGAAAGTTCCTCGACTTAATTGAAGGTAATTCGACTGATGGTACAAGTGAGGCAGTCATCGTTTATTAGAT